TCTACAAACAGGCCCCTGAGCTGAAAAATAGAAAACGGATTCTCAGAAAAATACGCTTTCACAGCAGAGAAAACGTATTTCTAGCCGTAGTTAAATGAGAATACGCTCTCATAAAGAAAACGTATTTGCCACCGAACTAAGACAGAAATACGCTTTCGCTAAACGGAAACGTATTTTGGTGAACTGCGTTTCCACTTATCTGACGTGGATGGCGGGGCCGGGCTTGAGGCACTGACAGGTGGGGTCCGCGGGGAGGGGCCTGCCGGCCTGACTGTTTTCAACCTCCCGCTCGGGGAGCTCCTGTCCGAGGGGAGAGGCACGCCCTGACGGCGATTGCCGGCGCTACGGGGCATCTACGGTGAGCTCCGGCTATGGATGGATTCAGCGCTCAATGGCGCATCCAAAGATCCTATCCACGGCCGGTGGGAGGACCCGAGACGCACGAGCTTCGCGTCGGCGGACAGGGGCTTCGGCCATCGGAGAACTCCTGGCAAGAGGCTACCAGAGGAGGACTGGGAGTGTTGGGGTGGATCTAGGGTGTGGATGGGGGCCTCTATAGGTGGAAGGAGGAGGGGAGGAGCCCGGGGCTGCTCCGATTCGAGCGGAGCTCGACGGCGGCTGTGGTGGCCATGGGAGACGAGGAGAGGCTCCGGGAGCGATTGGAGTGGTTAGGGAGGTTGCTGGGAGTGAGGGAGAGGTGATGGAGAGCTCGGGAGGCCGCGAGGTGGTCTATATATAGGCAGGGGAGGGGTGTGTCGCGCTGTCGTCGCCGCGGACGCGTGCCCACGCGCATGAGCTCGGAGGCAGGCAACGAGGGAGGCACAATGGAGGTTCTCACGGAGCAGAGGCGGCCAAGGAAGCACGGGGGGATGACGACGTCGACAAACAGAGCCAAACCACCACTGTGCTCTCGTGGGCGTTCGGCGGCGAGCGTCGGTGAGGGGTTTTACTAAGAGGGAGAAAGGTCCAGGAGGACGATGACGACACGGTAAATCTATTAGACATGCTCGTGCTCGCTGAGACACCGAGCAGAGGAGGGGCCCGAGCAAGAATCCACCCTGGGCGCGGCCAACGGTAGCAGAGTGCGCGCATAGGCGTGCCATTAACGCGGTCACCGCGTGCACTGGCTTGTAGTGGGGGATAGGGGCTTGGACATGTTGTCTAGTGCGTAGTTCATCCAGGGTAGGTCTCAACTACGGTGGTAGTTTGGTTAAAACTGCTATGGTTAAAAGGTAACCACCCTATGAAGTTTACTGCGGTAAACTTGGGTGAGAACTGCTGAGCAACAGGGATTTTACTTGCGCCAAAGAGTTTGTCTGGGGTGATTATCTATGGAAGGACTATGATCCTGGAGGTTTTGGGGCATAATGGATCTCAAACTAATATAGTTGCTTTGTAACTCACATTGTGGGTCCAGAATCAAGATTTGGATGATGCACTCACATGGAGTAACCACTTGAGGTAAAACTTGGCAGGGCTTAGTGATTTGGCCAGATAAAGGTGCTGTAAAAATTTCATACCAATTTGATTCACCAAAATGGTACTTGCTTCACAAATATCCTTGCTGACCAGAAACTTGCAAGAATTCTAGAGAAATATTGGCTATGTGAAATGGTTCCAAATTTGGTGGAGATAAGCTAGTTGGGCAGGAGAATGCTCTGGTAAATTTTCAGGCAAAATGAAGCAAGATAAAATATAATTGCTTCACAACCTGAAAATGTTGATAGAATCAAAGATTTGATGTTGTGCTCACATAGATCAAGGGATGGAGCTGATATTTGTAAGAGTAGGACAATATGAGCACATGAAGGAGTGTGCAAAATTTCAACTCATTTGGATAACCCTAGCTAGCACTTCCTTCACAAAGGCTTCTCTCAGACAGGAACTTTTGAAAACTCACTGAGGAAGTTTGGCTAGGCAAATAAAGTTTAATTTTGGCACATGGCAATTATTTGGATGATATATCATTCCCAAAAAGTTTGGGGGCAAATGGGAAAATATAAATAGCACTTGCTTCACAATTTGCCATTTAGGACAGAATAGGAAATGAATTTATTGAGCATGATGGAAAATATGGCCAATGAATTATTTTGCCATATTTGAGGAAGATATGACCCAAAAAATTTATAAGAATTATTTGGGGATTTTTGGATGGACAGAAATATAGGTTGCTTCACAACCTAGGGCAAATAGGGTTATTCCTTTAATAGAAAAAGGAATTTTCTCTAGAAAAGAAATTAGGGTTTGGCCAAGCAGTAGAGTGACATGGTCTTGGCAAGGTTTTTAGGATGATGAGCCACTTGGGAGGGGAAATGAAGATGATTTCCCATGTGACAATGCCACAGAACCACTCCAAAAAGAAAAACAGAGCAAAAACCAATAAATCAAAAAGAAAAAGAAAAGGGCCAAAATCCAGGCTGTTACGCCCGGATGAGATCACAGACATGACGAGGAGCTCGGAAATGGTCCGAAGGTAAAGATTGATATATAGGATGATGCTATTTGGTCTCCGGAATGGTTTCGAAATGCACCGAAAAGTTATCGAAATACTTGAAGGGGTTTCGGAGGCACCGGGAGTGTGTTGGGCCTTTTTGGGCCATGTAGAGGGGAACACACTAGCCCACATGGGCTAGTGCACCCCCTCGAGGCTGCCGCACCTAATACATGGTAAAGGAGGGGCGCCACCCCCTCTTACCATATCCCGGAGAAGGGAAGAAGGAAAGAAGGGGGCGTCTCCCCCCTTTCCTTCCCCCTTTGTGCCATTATTTGGCAGGGGGGCGCACCAAAGGGAGGAACCCTAGGGCAGCCACCACACCTATTGGGGCACCCTGGTTGCCTCCTCCCCTCCCACACCTATATATATGTGGGGAGGGGTGCCACACAAGACAACTTATTCCACGTCGTGTGTCGGCACCCCTCCACCTCTAGTTTACTCCTCCGTTCTAGATCGTTAAGTGCTTAGATGAAGCCCTGCACGTTTGCTTCGCCACCACCGTCACCACGCCGTTATGCTGATGAAACTCATCTACTACCTCGCCCCACTTGCTGGATCACGATGGCGAGGACGACACCGAGCTGAACGTGTGCAGAACACGGAGGTGTCGTGCGTTCGGTACTTGATCGGGCGGATCAGGAAGGTGTACGACTACATCAACCGTGTTGAATAAACGCTTCCGCTTATGGTCTATGAGGGTACGTAGACACACTCTCCCCCTCGTTGCTATGCATCTCCATGGATAGATCATTGCGTGTGCGTAGAAGTTTTTTGTTTTCCATGCTACGTTTCCCAACAATATCCTCCCGGACTTTAGTCATCTACTCGCGAAGCTTTGCCACCTCAGTGTTGCATTCGGCCAAAATTTTTGTGGTTACTAGAGCCACCAAGAGAGTGCCCAAAGTGGTATCAGTCCTGCCAAGGCTTGAGCCGGTGTTCGACTAGAGCCGGATGCATCGAGAGCCGGTGCCGAGGTACCAGTCCCTGTTACAGCACCAACTGCCGTGGTCCCTACGATGTTTTCATTGCCTGACATATAGACAGCCGCGCGGCGAGGCGGCTCGGGAAACTCTGGATCAATCTCATTGTCGGAGTATCTCCGAGCCTGTCATCGAAGAGCAGAAGGATTGACTCGATGTCCCCAATCGAGGATTCTATGTCCAAATTGACAGCGTGTCGCCGCAGGGCACGGAACCGCCCGAAAGGTCGACCCCATGGATGAAGCCGACAAAGGTGCTAGTCCGTCCGGCTTGCGCCTGGCCGGGTCTAGCGCGACGAGCCAGCTCGACGATGTCGGAGCGGATATCCGGCTCAGGCCCAGAGTCGCCGATTACGCCGATGAAGACATATATCTTGTCGAAGGGTACCTAGTACACGTACTTGATTGAGTCGGCCTCGGGGGCCCACCCCGAGTCGTCGATGTAGAGCTTGCCTCGGTGACTCTTCGTCATCCGACCGATCACATATCCCTCAATCCCTGGGAGAGCGCCCTCCAAGATCTCAACACCACCACGCGCAGGCCCCATGGTGGGCGCCAACTGTCGTGGTTTTGTCACGGCAAATGTCCTCGTGAAAGGACTAAGTCTGGAGGCCATCACAACTAGGTGGTTGCTTGAACGGGGTTGGTCGGGAACGAGGGGCACAAGTTTACCCAGGTTCGGCCCCTCATTGTGGAGGTAAAGATCTACTTCATGCTTGATTGATATTGCTGGAGATCTCGATTACAAGGATGCGAATTCGCTAACCTAGCTCTCGAGAGATTGCAACTTAGTCTTTTCGTTCCTAGGAACTCCCCTTTATATAATAGGCCGAGTCCCTAGGTTTACATGAGATTTCAGATTGTACTCTCAACAATGATCCTAGTCTAACTCTATATTCATCTTTCCTCCCAAGTTAAGGAATCTTTCATCTGAGTCTTCTTCGTAAGCCGGCCCACCAGGCCTCTTCACGAGCCGGCCTCCTGGCGAATATCTTGTCAGGCCTTGGGCCTTCTTGTTTCCTCCATGACCCGGCAAAGGCTCTGGCCCATGGAGCCTCTTGGCTCTCTGGCCGGGTTAAGACATTAGCCGGGTCTTGGTGCTAGGGAACATCCCCAACAGCAACCTACATGAATTTCTCTATAAACGATGGCTTCTTTGATTGGATGATTCTTAAAATGCACGTAAAATACAAGATTGAATTGCCATGTCTATTTGAGCCCTATGAGTTTCAATTTGCACGGTTGAATCACAAAGAAATATTATTTTCAAGAGATTTGGGTGGATGCTATTTTTTTAATGAAATACAGTACAGTGCCCGCTGCTACATGGGCTGGGCCAGCACGAAGCGCCCTGTGCCCGCTCTCCTATTGGACGCAGCGAGCGTCCCCTTTCCCCACGATAATAAACTGAGCTGCACGAATCATAAAGCGCACACAAATCGCGCACGCTGCTGATGATTAAAGGCAAGAAAGACGGAAGGTCTGCTCCTCTTTCCTCGGTATCGGAGAGAGAGGGAGGAAAACACAATGGCCGCCTCTTCTGCTCTCAGAGTAAGCAAAGCACCCAGTGATTTTTTCCAGGCCCCCCAAAGACCCCCAATCTCGTTTTTCTAACCTGGATTGTGCTTGTGCGTTTGCTTTGGTTGGCGATGCAGCTGATTCTCGGCTCCTCGTCGGCGTCGCGCCGCCAGATTCTGGCCGAGATGGGGTACCAGTTCAAATTACTTGTAGGTGATTTCCCCCCTCGTCTTCTGGGGATGGTTAACTCTAGCAGCTTGCTTGTGATTTGTCTTCTTTCTTTTCTTATTTTTCTCCGCTTGGGTTTTAGAGCGCGGACATTGACGAGAAGGAGATCAGGAAGGAGAAGCCAGAGGAGCTGGTGGTCGCCTTGGCTCACGCGAAAGTAATTTCCTTTCCCTTTTCTTTTATTTAAGAACTAGGTTCTGCTGTCCTTGTAGATTTGTTCTAGCTGTTTTGTTTAGGAATTAGGGCAAGGGCCACATAAGTATTTTCTTAAGAGAGCAAAATCATATTATTTCTCCGCTAGGAGTGGAGTTTGCTTTGCGGGGGTGAGTGAGTTTATTATTTATGGTTATAGAACGAATATTTAGCAAGCTGGCACATTATAGGTTCAGTTTTGTCTTCTTTGTGTGTGTGTGTGTGTGTCAAGACAATGGTCTTTAGTAGTACTATATATGTTACTACCTCTGTCCCCAAATAGATGGCATATAATTCAGTCAAAATGTCAATTATCTCTAAGTTTGACCAAACGTATATACAAATATATTAAGATAAACAATATCGAATCATCATCAATATATCCAGCATTAGATATATTTTCATAATCTATTCATTCAATATTGCAGTTGTTGATATTTTCTTCTATATATCTGGTCAAACTCGGAAATAATTTACTTTTTCACTGGATTTATATGCCATGTATTTGGGGACAGAGGTAGTACTACCCGTTTACAGGGATTAATGCTATTTTCTTGGAATAAAGGACCTCATTTGTATATTTCTTTTCATCAGAAAAATAAGAGTTTGTCAAACTGTGCCAGTTGTAGTTCTGATTTTGCTTTGGTTTTAAAGTGTGCTACTATGCTATGTCAATGGTGTAGGCAGATGCAATATTGGATAAGATGCGGAACAATGGGATGATGAAAGAGATTGTTGACTCTCAAGAGACTACCTTATTGATCACTGCTGACCAAGTATGCATCTTACAACATCCCCTCTAACAATCCTTTTTGTGGAGTGATTTTTGCTTATAATTACGATTTTAGTTTCATGTGGTGATGTGGATATAGCAGAATATTAGTCACTTTACACTGATTTTCTAGAATCTGGATGGAGTGATCCTGGAAACTGTTATTATTATTTGACTGTAGTTACATGATTATGTCACCACTGTATTTCAAGATTTATTGCCTTACCAGTTTTGGTTCTAGTGTTTCCTGGAAATATGGCCCAATCTGTTTAAAAGTAGATATTTTCTTGATCACTGTTTGGTTTAGGAGTTAGGCATATATGCAACATGTCTGTTGTATCTCAACATTGCATCTTGAATGTTGAGAGGGTGCTCAGACAATAATCCATATCAATAAGCATAAATTGGTGTCTGCATAAGTTACTCCCTAGATAATCCATATATCATACACACTAGGATAGCAGTTAGGCCAAAGGAGTTGCATAATATCTGGGTCCAAGCCAAGAGGCACAAATTGGGTATTTGCTTAGTCATTTTTATATGTGTTTTAATCATGTTTCGGTCTTTGGGTCTGAAAGATAGATAATTATAATCAGGAGTATGTTTGGATCTTTGATTTAGAAGCTGTTTTTTTTGCTCATTACTACTGTAGTTACTTTTGTTAAAATTGCTGAGACGAAAAAGTGTTTGTGGGGCACATTATGACATCCAAAAAATGGAGTCTCGATAACATTCATAGTGGAATGTTTACTTAGTTTTTCGAAAAATAGTGAATGTTTATACTCTGTCGCATGCTTGTGCATGTACCATGTGTGTGCACACATTTTAGTGCTTATTTGACTCTCCCCCTTGTTCTGGTATTTTGTTTTCTTTTGGAGGTTGTGATTCATGATGGAGTTATTCGAGAAAAACCTACCACTCCAGAGGAGGCACGTAAATTCATCCAAGGTTTGTCTTACCGACTGTTGTGTGTCGGGGCATGAGCTCAAATTATTTAAGATCATTTATTTGACTTGTCCGTTTAACCACATACTGGTCACAGGATATTCCCAAAGCCATGCTGCGACAATTGGATCTGTGCTTGTTACAAATGTGAAGACCGGAACTAGAAGGGAAGGATGGGATAAATCTGAAGTAATTACCAATTTTTTTCTGATGTTCCATTGAGAAATGAGTACCAAAGTCGTTTGTTCACATAGACATCAGTATTGATTTAAAATTATGGACATTTTTTGAAGGACCGACCTAATCAGTGAATTTTGGTCTTTGATTCAGATTAGTTATACAGTAACATGATCTGGTGTAATGCTAGCTTCATGTTAAAAATCTGGTTCAGCTTTCAGTCCCAGTAAACTGATAAATAACAGTGGCCTAACTTGAGCACGGCCTTCTGAAAAATGGAACCTCTGCGCACATGACACTTTTTTGTCCGCTTCCTGTACGACAACCGATCCAGTGGTTTGCCATGATTTTTTTCAGAGTGTGGATGGTTTGATGTGCACCATCGTACAGGGATCGGACGAAGAAGATTGTATGCATATCAGCGTTCTCTGAAAAATTGATGGGCTAACATCAATTCAGCCTTAGTGTTCAGATGCTCTTGTGCTCTTTCATAAAGCAGAAACCCATCTTATAGTTTTGAGACTAATTTGACATTTGGCACTTTAATTTATCATATCATGGTTTAGTTCAGAATCCTTATGAGATTTTAGGTGCATGTATCAGATAATTAACTCTTGGTGAGTCTAATGTTTAACGTTTCATTGGCACAAAATATCAAATGAATCCTAATGAATATGCATAATCCAGTTATGATCCCATGTTTCCATCAGTTTGAGTTCCGCGTTGCAGAGTTTTGGCCTCACACTTTCCCCTATAATTGTCCCTGTGCAGGTTTATTTCCACAAGATACCCAATGAAGTTGTTGAGAGCTTGGTAAGTCCGAAAAACAAGCATTAATTTTGTCATGTCCTGCGGTGCTCCTGCCTGGTTTATGAAGATGTTAATTTCGAACCATATCCTCTCATTATCGAGTTACACCCACTGAAACTTTTCGCTTGTGTGTATTTCAGATTGAGGAGGGCAATGTCTTCTACGTTGCTGGAGGCCTTCTAGTAGAGCATCCACTGACTTCACCTCTCGTGGAAGCCATTGTGAGTCACATCCTGACATGTTCTCATTCTAGGCTGGACTATATATTTCCATGTTTGAGACAAATGAAACAGTCAAACAGCATCTCAACATGGCAATCTGTGCAGGTCGGTACAATTGATAGCGTAATGGGGCTTCCTAAAGCTCTCACGGAGCAGCTCATCAAGGATTCCCTCCAAGAGCCGTAGCTGCAAATTTCTGAACTAAGCTGGCTGGCGACGGGAGATCTCTTGTTGGAAAATCACTATTCTTGTGCTGAACAAAACTAAACACTCATCCTTTCTGGCAAATGGAGATTGGAGTGGACCCTAATCAGCTTGGTCAGCCTCGCTATACCAACTTTAATAGGCTGAATTTTAGCATTCACTGAATTCCTCTTGGTGGCTAAGTGAACTGGGTAGTAGCCAGTAACATTTTTGGAGACCTTTCTGTGACCAACACGGCATCAATGGGCTTCATTCTTCCATGTGATGTTATGGGTCTGACGGACCAAACATATGTACGTCATCTGTTCTACCGCATGCTATCAGGAGATCAGCGGGTTGTGAATTGTTTTGGGCTATGACTTTATATTCTGAAAAGGAGGATAGGCCCAACTTTTCTGGGGGAGAATTTTATTTCTCCTGGCCTTCGCACCAAGCAACTAGGTTTAAATCTTGGTTGATGGAGCAGCGCACACCTTATTTCACTGCGTTCCAAGCTTGGGCTCCATGAAATAAATGTGGAAAAAACCCTGTGTAGCAGCGGTCAATCCTGGCTTATGGGGTTCTATCTGCTTGATCTATGAATAGTCCATGCTAATCTTCGAACCTGCGTGTGTTTGGTCTGGTCTTGTTCCTTTCATCTTAACATGCTACAGCGTGTGCATCTGGTAGAGGTTGCCGAGTCTGTTTGACTGAGTTTTTTTTTGGGAGTAAGACAGGTTGTTGAGTCTGACGACATTACTGATGATAAGTGGCACGAAAATGCAAAGTTGAGACACTTATTTTGTGATGAAGGGAATATCTAGTATCGTAGTAATACCCTGGATTTTTTTTTTCACTTCTAGTGTTCTTTGTACTACCTTGACAGTTGATGAGTAGACTGAAAGTTTTCCCGCAGAAATAGTAATACTACTCCCTCCGATCCAAAATAAGTGTCTGCATTTCTATTATAGTGTATATTTTGATACAGAGGGAGTACTATAAATCACTCACAAACTCAAAACGGAGCTCTTTCTTTTTTAGGTAAAACTCAAAACAGAGCTGGGGAAGTAAGAAAAGGCAGTTCTCTGTGTAAACAGCTGACTGGGCTGCGAATCCGGCCCTGGAGCAACCAGCGCCACTCCGTCCGCCGTCGACGGCTACGGGTTGAATTACCCTTTTACCACGAGCCTGCACCGCGCCGTCCCGTTGGTGGTTCGGTTCAACGCACTACAAGAGTTTAGAGCAGAGCGACACGAGCGCGCAGATGGGCGAGCGGAGTCTGGCCCTGAGCGGAGCGGAGATTGCGGTCGCCGGCGAAGCCGAGAAGCTCCAGTCGCGGCGTCCTTATCCGCAGCGCGGGTGGCCGCTGGCCGGCGGAGGTCCAGTAGTCCAGTATCCCAAGTTGCTGCACTCGCTAGGTATGATATAGCTCCTCCAGGTATGGGAACAAAACTGCAATCAACGAGGGCTGGAAACTGAAATTCTGGTCAATTAGCGGTGGGATTGGGTGGTCTAGGTTAATACTCCGTATGTGGCTCGGCAGCGATATCCTTAGGTTGGATTTCTCCGCAGTCGGTCATCCATCACTCGTTATTGTGGAAGATCACAAACGGTTACTGAATCTTCTGTATGCCCGCGGTCAGACTACGAGCAAATGGAAGAGTTTGGGTTTGATGATAACACTTATCTGCATTTTGAATGATTGGTTTTTACACAATCTGATTAGTGAACTTCAAGCCCTTTTAGCAGGTTACTTACAGTTGTGAGACCACTGGCTATGGATCTGTACCAATGTACGTCCGTGTGCACTACTATGCTGTTTGTGTATTCTGACCAAATGAACACCAGACATGTCTGTGCATCATAACCATAAGCACTACACAAATGTCAATACTGTACGCATTACACTCATGGTCTCTTCCCTGTGGCAACTATGGCAGCCACCACCTTCCATTGGCCAACTGACCACACGAGGAATTAATGTGTTAGGCTTTTAGCAGTGCTTGTCCCATGGGAAAATCGGAAGCTGATGCATCAGGAAAATGGATAATGTCTAGGGTGGAACCATAAAAGCGTGCTGGGGTTACTTGTGTAATGACCTTGGACTAGATGGTGTCAACATACTTCATACTCCAGCCACATGATAATAAACTATGCTGGCAGGGTCCAGATTTGCACTTTTGGGTATAAGTATATTTGATCCAGAGTTTACAATCTATTCACATTAGTATCATCTAGTTCCTTCGTGTTGCCTTGTTGGACTAATGTTGTTTCATTTCTAGGCATAGATTTCAAATTACAGTATAAGCATACTTTTGCCTCAATTTCAGTTTATATTGGCCTGTCAAAACCAAACTTCAGTTGCTTCTTTATTCCCCTCTAATCTCAGTCCGTTCTTTGTACCAAATTTTGTTTCATAATTATATATGAAAAGTATGCTGCAGAAAATACTTATTAATCTTGATGCTTATACCTATCTACCCCACTCGTAGTAAATCTTCTTGAGAAGTTGAGGTCGCATTTTTTTATGAAGTTTTGGTGGCAGGTGGATATCCACAATTATCCCTGTTTGCTTCTCTTGTTGTGATGCCTTCTTGTTCTTACAAATTTCCGCTGTCTAATTTTGGTCTTAGGAGTCACTGAAAGATGAAATGGAATCCGTTTCACGAGCTCCAGCCTTGATACAATAATCAATACTCATTGATGTTATCTACTTTGTCTTGTCGTCTATGTATCTAAAAATTAACGGGACGTGGTTATGAGGTGCAAAGTGTGAACTAACTGTGTATTCGATGCAATAGGGGTCTTTGAGTCAGATTAGGATGGGAAACTTGAAGTTGAATCAGTAAAGAACAATGTTACAATTTTGTTATTTCTCTTTATCTTGGTCCATTGTACATGCCTATAAAAGCTTAAAATACCTGGGGATAACAAGCTTGGTTCCATGGATCTTGTACCATGTTAACTAAGCGATTTTCCTCGCAAAGAAAAAAAACTACTCCCTCCGATCCATAGTACTTATCGCAGCTTTAGTACAACTTTATACTAAAATTGTACTAAAGCTGCGACTAATACTATGGATCGGAGGGAGTAATTGATTCCAAAAATGAAATGTTGTTGAAATGTTCATTACATTGTTTTGACGGAAATAAAGTGTTACATCTTCTGCAGTGAAGAATCTATTACCTATTTCAGTGGTATGATTCGAGGCAACATAATGTAATATTAAATGTGCCCACTAGTGCACAAAGTACATGGGTTGAAGAATTAACGCATTAGATTCATTTGTTGAAAGGATCTCACCTTTGTTGTTTATCATATTTTTGTAGTGTGGCTAACTGGCTGTTATTCTACCACCAAAGTCCACTGTCTGCTTGGCCTAACTTTGAGCTTTGTCCTTGATGAGCTTAAGCTGAAGTCAGATCGCATGTTTTCTGTTAGGGGTTTAGCCGCTTACATGGATAACCTGCAGCTATCCAGATTCTACTCTTTCTAGTGTATAGGACATTTTTCGTGATGTTAAGACTTTTTGACTTTATGACTCTTTTAGGCCTGAGCTATGTGGAGTGCAATTTAGAATTAACCTAAACTGATAAATGTTCCAGCTAGCAATCATGCCATTTGTGCTCTCTTTTGGTGCAAGTGAACTCTACTATTTACAATAGCTGTGACTGAGACAACCATTGACACACCGGTAAAACTTAGCCGACCTAAGGTGTTATGCTTTAGTTGGGCATTAGATATCAGCAAGGAACTCACTATGTATCAGTTTCTGCTGGTTGCCTGGTTGTAAGCACTCTGAAGCTGATTCAAAATGCTGTAAACATTTCTTTTCTTTTTAGTGATTGCCTTTTAGCCTGTGCATTTCTAGACCAGAAACATGTTTCACCCTTTCATGTCAAGAGAGGTCAGGGTAGCCCGAACTTGACATGGGAGGGAGTCCGTAAAGAGAGATCTGAAGGACTGGAGTATCACCAAAGAACTAGCCATGGACAGGCGTGCGTGGAAGCTAGCTATCCATGTGCCAGAACCATGAGTAGGTTGCGAGATCTTATGGGTTTCAGCTCTAGCGTACCCCAACTTGTTTGGGACTAAAGGCTTTGTTGTTGACATGTTTGACCCTTTCACTAATTTGCTTAGGTTTTTCTCAGCAGAATGGTTTTAGTTGTTTCAAATCAAATCAACCTGGATTCCAAATCAAGAATGATCTGTACTTTGTTCCATATGGTTTGTATGGAAACGTTGGTGGCACCAAATTTACTCAAGTGCTAATGTATTCTTGTGATAGTTTACTGGCCATCATTTTCTTTCTTATCTTAGGAGAAAGGAGACTGAGCTCGAACTACTTTTATATCATTTTGAAAGCACTTGTTCCTTGTCTTTGATGAATACATTTTCAATATTTTAGAATAAATAGGTAGAACTCTATTCAGACAGTTTATTGGGGGATGTGGGGTAGATGTGAACGTAAGACAATCCAAGCAAGTTTGTCGTATCATAATTAATTAACTTCTTACTGCATTGTTACTGCGGTCTGACGTATGTCTCGTACTTGACCAGGTGTTCTGCTTCCAAGTGAGGTACTGTGATCAATTATATGAATGTGCCAATATTGCCAGCCTTTTTTGCAGCAGCAGCAGATTTGCAGCTTTTTTGGTGTGTTTGGTGGCAATTATCAGGGTCACTAACTCCTATGGTGCTAGGATGGGGCCAAAGGACATATTGCTAAGCTGCTAGTTCGTGGAAGCTTTTGAAATATCCAGTAAGTAGGTGGCTGCTGATTTCCCTGTGCTCGTCCATATCTGGCTCTATGCTGCATCTCCTTAGCTATATTCTAGTTGGCTAGAGGTTTTCCTGTATCCTTTGTAGATGCATCGCAAAAAGAGTTCCATGTTATTGATTTCTGTGCTATCATGGAGGAAATGTTTGTAGGTCTTCTTTGTAACTGTTTGCTGAAACCCTGTAACTGATTATTTATTTTCCAACTTTCTATACTGTGAATC